ATAGGAGGTCGTTCAAAGTTCTAATCTCGGCGATACCGGGCAGGAAAACCAGAATAGCTTTGCTGTACGCTGTATACTCTGTGTCAGATGCTACTTTGGCGATGAGCTGCACGATAAGATCGAAGTCGATCCGGTACTCGTCCATCTGGGCGAGAGTTGACCTTGTCTTTGCGGAATAGGCTGAGAAGTCGGCCCCAGACGTAGACTTGGGCGTGTCGGTCTCAACATCTACCATGTCGTCGTCTAGGTCGATCGTCTTTTCCTGGTTGGTCTGCCCAACCATGTAGCCGGTCGTCTCGATGGCATCCTCCAAGTAGCGGACCTGCACGGGAAATGTTCGCCCTGGCACAGTCAATACTGGTGCTCCACCGAGATATTTGGAAAAGCGCTCCGCGTCGACCGTAGCCGACATCAGAACCACCTTCAAATCCTTTCGCCTCAACAGGAGCTTCTTGAGGATGATCAACAAGAAATCGCTATCGATAGACCTCTCGTGGACTTCATCGAGCACGAGGTGGGTAACCTCTCGCAAGTCATTTGAGCCTTCCAGCATACGCATGACTATGCCAGTGGTCGCATACACCAGGCGTGTCTCTCGAGACGTGTTCGCCTCCAGTCGAATGGAGTAGCCAACCAGGGACCTGTTTGTTCCCACATCACCACGGTTTTCTCCTAGCTCCTCGCTGACGCGCTTGGCCAACGAGATGGCCGAGATACGACGTGGCTCGGTGCAGTAAATCTTGCATGGTTTGCCCTGGGATAGTTGGTGCTCCAGCAGGAACGCTGGCGTCTGCGTACTTTTTCCACAGCCCGTCTCGCCGCAAATGATGACCACTTGCTCTCTGTCGACGGCGTCGGTGACCTGCTGCTTGAAGTTCCACATGGGAAGCTGCATGCGAGACTGGAGCATGGCGTGATATCTGGGGGTGCTGCTCTTCCGAGCCCAGATGTTCTGATAGTACTCTGGACCACCAGAGAGGCGCTTGGCTGCCTCCAGACCAGCTTCGTCCCTGTTGTCATTCCCACTTCTACCAGCGCCCCGGCCCTTGAAAGCACCTTGGATGATGACTCCGTCTTCAAGTTCCTGATCTTGCCTTTGACGCACAAGACTTCTTAGCTCCCGGATGGCGTCTCGGTCCTTGGAGTCTAGGAGGCTCTTCCTGGTATCGGCGAGCTCATCCCATAGCTCACGCCAGACAGCAGGAAGTCTCATGCCAACCTTCTCCTCCTTGGCTGACGTGCCAAAAACGTGAAACAGTGCCCAGGTTGCAATGAAGGCCTCTGACTGCTTCTTGTCCGGTGTGGCAGTTGTTTTCATGCTGAAGTTGAAGCTCGTCGGGTAAGCGATAGTCTCTACGCTATCGTCCTGAGATTGCGGGAGGGAGCCCTGGGGTTTGGCCCAGGACACGGAAACAGAGTGACGGTTGGCAAAAGGTACTTCCGAAATAAGGCGGTACGTAATCTTTACCGAGGCGTCCCTGTAATTCTGTTAGCTTATTATAGCCTTCGAAGCATGTCCCGGAATACACACCTGGCTCTGCAAGCTTCTTCGAGGGCCCTCATGGGGGTGACGCCAGTCCATTTTCCAAAATCCCGGATCGTAATCTTTATACCGTCTGCGCCGTTGACCACGGTACTTGACTTTCCAGTGGCATCGACCTCAGTCACAGGCAAATTGGCAAAAAGATCAGCAAGGGCGCCGTCGCCATCATCGTCGCTGCCTCCCTCCGCGAGAATTTCGGCTGCGATGCGGGTGGCCTCATCGTTGACGTCTCCGTCAGATGACACAGCAGGCTGCTCGGTGTCCGTTCCAGGCTCCCTTGCATCTTCTTCCTGTGCCTTTTGTTTTCTCGCCTCCGCGAGCTCTCTCTCCAGGACGATCTTTTGAGCCTTCCATTGCTGCTCGGCCAGAAACTTGTCAAACAATACGTCCTTTTCAATTCTGTCGAGTTTCGCACGAAGCTTGGCCTTCTTCTCATCGTCCTCGTGCCCGCTGCTCTTGCTGTCCTTCTGCCTCTTTCTTCCTAGCTGGTTCCGTTCAATTTCGAACAGCTTGACTTTTGTTTCGAGGTAGGCAGGTACTAGGTCGTCAGGTTCGATGTCGCTGTCGCACGTCACCACAACCCTCTTCTTCTGAGCCACGTGAGCCCCTTTCTTGGATGCTAGGGCAGGTTTCTGGCGACTGTCGGGCTCCAATACTCCAGGTGTAGTTGCACCCGAAGGCAGAGGGCTTTCAGCAGGCGTGTCTGAAAATTTCTGTTAGCTTGATTTCCATCGAGATTGTGAGCTTTGGGTTCCTCATTCACCCAAAGGCTTGTTGCCATGCCTTCCCCGACCATCGTAGTCAGGTAACTCGTCAGTTGGGCATTCTCTAGCCAGCCAGTCAAGGGCTTCCTCTAGTCCCCATAAACTGTCTTTGGCGATGGGAGGTATATTGGGAGCAATATCCAAGATATAACGCATGACGGACTGGACGCGATCTTCTGGAAAGCCGACACTGCCGAGGGTCTTTTGCAGGGTCCAGAGCTTGATGGTCATGTCTTCCTCCGGCAGCATCTTGCCGCTGGCAGCACTTTCCGTGGACACGCTAGAAGAAGCAAAACGGCTTTCGGCTTGAATGAGGTCCAAGATCTGATCCATAAGCTCTTGGGGCAACCACTTCCTGGAATTGATGGAGTCGGCCTGGCTTCTGAGAAGTCGCCGATCAGTTTCAAGCCGTGTGCGCTGACGCTGAGCATCCCTCTTGGTCTTCTGAGCATATTTGTCAACAAGCAACTGCAATTCATCTTCTTCAAGCTGCTTTTCGTATTCTTCCGGGCTCAAGGTCTTCTGGGCAGACTGGTCACCCGGGGGAGGAGACTGAGATGCAGAAGCATCATCTTGGGCTGCGGCAGCATTGGATGCGGCATTGGCGGCCCGGCCGTTGGCGGCGTTATCGGAGCCCTCAGCGGGCTCGGTCCGAGCCTTGGACGAAGCAACGGAGGTGGTGGCGAAACCTCTAGCTGGGTTGGCAGCGGCCTTCTTCTTTTTCTTGGCGCCAGCCATGGCTGGTCGCGTGGAGGGTAGACTTCAGGATTGAGAATAAAAACTGGATACGCGTTCGATCGGAGTGGATGAGATCCGGGCGACGAAGGGACAGGACAGGCAGATAGGCAAGACGTGTTCCAGGGCAAGTCAGGCCCGGGGCTTTTCCAAAAAGACCCAAGCCGGGCCTAGGTTGGTCGGGAACGACAGAATGAGGAGCCGAGCCGAGAAGCAAGAAGTGAGGACAGGCGTTGGGCAAAATGCCGCTTTTTGCTGTCCACAGAAGAGATGTGCTGGTGGCCTCAGGGAACCACGGCCTGAGCGAATTGGGTCAGTGAGTAAACGAGTAGACGAATTGGTGAGATGAGGCAGATGTTGGGTGGAATGAGGCAGTGGATGACAATGTTTTACTTTTTTTGAGGCAAGTGTGGTAGCCAGGCAAGGACGGTACCTTAACGATCCAAGTGGACACGGAGGCGAGTGTGATGGCCACAAGCTTCAGGTGAAAGGCCTGAAGGCAAGGTGAGGTTTTGTATCCGTAGAGGGCAGAGAGAGGTGTTGTGCGGGCATGAGGGTGAGATGTGTGGTGAGTTGCGATGATGAGGATGAGGGTGCGAGCGTGAGCGTGGCAGAGTGATGTCAGTAGTGGGCTCGGCTGCCAAGGGGAATGAATATTTTTGCTTCTGCGTTTGTGAAGACGGGCTCGATTACCTATGCCAGGTCATGGATGTTGTGCATGTTGGGCGAGAGGCCAAGTAGAAAGTATTTTTGCTGCGGAATGGGGGCGACAGGGTGCCTGTATGGCTGGCTCGAGGCAAGGGACGGAGGATGGACTCGAGACAGGACCTGGACCTCAGCAACCGGCGGGTGGTATTGCCCGGTGTATGAGTCTAACTGGACACTGTGGATGCGATTTTTAGAAGTGGATGTGGATGTGGACGACAAAGTGCTGCTGAATGTGCAATGGTCGTTCAAATTGCGTGTTAGCTACCTCTGGCCCGAAGAATTAGCACTGAGGTAGGAGCAGAGAAAGCCTAAGGTAGAGCGATAGGTCTTTGTCACGTCACCAATCAGCACCTCAGATTTCCTAAGAGGACCTTTTTTTTTTTCTCTCTTCCCTCCCGTTAGGCATTGAGTCACCGGCGAAGCTCGCACCTCGGGCTCTTTTTTTTTTTTTTTTTTTTTTTCCCCCTTTCGCGTTTCCCTTTTCAGGCGGTCAATTGGCCTACTATTCAACCAATCCTCAAACCTGGATCCTCATCCAAGCTACGAAGATATTAGCACAACTTCACCATGAGTTAGACATGATTTATAGACACCTTAAGACTAGGAAAAAATAGAGACATGTGAAGGAGTTCTTCCTTGCACGCCTGCGCTTCGCCATAACTAATTCAGCCCCGCGGTGGAAAAGTTGACCATGACATGACCGCCTTCCCTATCAGGAAGCGCAACCCCGCCAATCTACCTTAAGGGAGGTGAGGGAAGGTACCTACCACCCTAAAGTACCTCCCTACGTAAGGTGCCAGGCCCAGACCACACAACCCTAGAGCCGGATTCTGCCCACACCTGACTTGGGGGGGGGGGGGGGGGGGGGGGGTGTTNGGGGGGGGGGGGGGGGGGGGGGGGGGGGGGGGGGGGGGGGGCGCATTTGTGCTGTGTCCACTGAGTTGGAGCTACCTACGCCGCCAAGACGTGAGGAGCGCGCTGTATTGAGGTGTATCTCAGGCTTTGCCTTGCCTTGCCGTGCGTGCCCACTGCCTCGAGCAGCCTCAACCACACCATCGAAATCTGCCTCGCATTTTGGCACCAACAGCGACAGCACTCAATTTCTTCTCCGTCATTTAACACCACTGCATCTCCCGCCCACCCTCTCTTCTGTCGGTGCCACAAGTTTCCGAAACCTACCTGCTCGCCGACCATATCGCTGGCCGGCTTGCCCCCAATGATATCTTCTGTCCGCTCCCAATCCCGCCGAAATGACTGAAGTCGTCGTCAATGGCTCCGGCTCTGCCTCCGCCCCTCTCGATTTCCCTGCCACGAGAACGGCCCTGACCTCGTCTTCCACCAATGTCAGGATAGCTCAACTGCGAACTGTCGAGGACAAGATATCAAATACAGGTAAACCGCCTCCTCGGCGCCTCCATTGATCCTTCCAGCTGACCCATTGCCATCTGTCGCAGAACTTGACCCGCCATTGGTTTGCAGACTCGTCCAGTTGCTCTTCTGGACACATGCCTTCTACGCCGACCGACCCTCTCGACTCGCCGTACAGAGATGTCTCTCCGCTCTTCTTTCCAAAGGTCTCGACTTTGACGTCCTCTCCGCTTTCGTTGCTGCTTTGCGTGCCGAGTCTCAAAAGCCTGGAATCGCCGCCAGTAATGCCTTCGTTCTCGTCGAGTGGTGCAGCTTGCTCATGCAGCATCTCGCTAAAACTTACAACTGGGACAAGCTGGCTTCTCAGATCCTCCAAAGCTATGTCGACGTTTTGGACAAGTGTCTTCAGCCAGCTGCCAAAGGTGGCATGGCCCATTCCGCCATCGTCGTCACTCGGAGAGGCTTTCGCAAACTCTTCTCTGCCCATGAGAACCCAGACAAGGCTCTCAAGGACGCTGTCCAGCTCCTGACGACCAAGTCGGCACAGCCTTCCATTAAAAATGCCCCGCTACTCGGCGTCATCGCCGGCGTGAGCTCTCGAATCCCCGCAGTCAAGTCGGTTCTAGAGACCCAGAAGTCGCAGTACTTCACCTTTTACACCAGAGAGATCATCGGCTCACGGACTTCTGTTCCCCAGCACATCGCATCTGGGCTCAATGACTTCTTCCTTGATTTTGTAACCCTGGAAGATCTTGCCAAGGAGGTTATTCCGTCTCTGGAAAAGGGATTGCTGCGTGCGCCTGAAATCGTTCTCAGCGATGTCATCATCCCCCTGATTCGCGCTCTCCATAGGGATTTCGACCTTTCGCAGATCCTTTTGGGAAACCTGCTGAAGCCTATCCTCTCCAATGTCAAATCCAGCAATGTCAACACTCGGAACGGCGCTGTTAAGGCCTTCAAGGCACTGGCTGCTGCAAGTCGGGATGATAAGGCCCTGGAGAAGGTCTCGGAAGAGATTGTTGGTCCCGTCAAAGGCGGAAAATTAGCATCCGCAGACCACAGAATTCTTCACTGTGAGATGCTCGAGGCCATTCCTCTCTCCAATACTATTGCGGACAAAATTGCCGCCGCTTTGGCAGTCGTCTCTGCAAAAGAGGGAAACGAGGCTGCTCTTGCCGTCGAGGCTTCTGCTCTGGCTAGATCTACAGGATTCTTGCTTGGAAATGACACAGAAGTTGCCAAACCAGTCGTGGATGCATGCATCAAAGGTATTTCTGACAAGAAGTTTACATCTCGTCGCATTTGGCTACTTCGGGTCGGTGAGATCTTCAACGCTGCTACAAGCTCGGGTGATATTTCCCCTGCCGTCGTCAAGTTTGCTGAGGCTGTCCTACCGAAACTTTTGGACACCTACAATGAGGTGGTTGCTAATCCCCTCGTTGCTGCTCAAAACAACTTAACAGTAGGTGCCTTCATTGTCACCACCCTCACCTCCTGGTCTCAGCAAAGCAATGTGACTGCTACTGTCAAGCTGTTATTGTCAAAGGTTTCTATTGCGAATCAGGTTCTTGCTCTTGAGCCCAAACCTTCCTTCCTGCTCAATCCTCGCATATATGGCAAGATTACTGTCGAGGACGAGCTTATCTGGTTCTCCCGTGCTTTATCGGCCGCGTCAGAGCACTTGAGTGAGGAGACCACCAAATCTGTATCGACTGCCTGGGCAGAGGCCTTCATTTTCGCCATCTCTTCATCCGGGGCAACTCCCAAGGCCAGACAGGTCGCCACGGACAGCTTGTCTCGCGTCTATGCCAGTCGCCCAGCTTTGGTCTCTCAGGCTGTCATACATGGCATCTGGCACTGGATCGACAGCTTAGAGACGGCAGACAAAGACAGTGCAGCAGCATTGTCCAAGACCGAGAACAGCAACCTACATCAAGTTTTGCGCACCATCTGCATCAACCCAAAGAATGTGGAAGAAGGCCAACAAGAAGCTGTGCGAGCAACAATTGATCAACAGCTTTGCTCCCTACTCGTTCTTGCTCGGCAAGACCTCGTTCCTCGCGCCAGTTGGATTGACCTCTGCCTCCGCGTAGAACGGGATCCTGGAGACTTGGCACGCAGGTTTGAAGATAGCCTCATCAAAGAAATCACAGAAAGCACTTCGATCGAGCAAAAGTCCGATGTGGTCAAGAGGGCTGCCTGCAATGCCGCTGCGGAATTGGCTTTTGTTGCCCCAGAAACAATGACCAGCCGTATCGTTCAAATCATACAGCAAGACCTGGAGCCGGAAGAATTGCGAAACGTCGGACCCGTGGAGGCTGCTATCTTCAGAACCCCCGAGGGCACCGCCTTCGTGGACGTCCTCGCAAAGAAGGCCCAGACAGCTGTTCCCGATAAGAATAACAAAGACTACGACATCCTCAAGTGGGAGGCGGAACTCAGGGCCCAGCTGGATCAGAAAAAGGGGCAGCAAAAGAAGCTCACAGCAGATGAGACGGCCAAGGTGAAGGCTCAACTGCAGAAGGAGGCAGAAATCCGCAAATCAGTTCGCCAACTCGAAGCCCGGTTGTTGCGCGGTATTGGCATCGTTCAAAGCCTCGCTACTGGTCCACCCACTGAAGCCAGCCACTGGATGGGCCCGGCAGTAAAGGCCCTCCTAGACGTAATCGATGCTGGGTCCAATCTTCTCACCGGGGACGCTGCGTCTCTGGCTTACCTGGCCTGCTCTGAGCGAACAACCAGCCGTCTTGGTCCGATGAAACCTTTTGTTGGAGTTGCGACGCTGCGCGCCCGGGGCGTCACTTCGCTACCCGAAGATTACAAACAGGAGCCTGTAGATGAGCTCGTCACCAGAGTACTCTACCGTTTGCGATTTGCTGGTGAGCAACGACCCTTCGATACTGTCTCGCTCGTCTACGCTCTATCGCTGGTCTTCACCGTCCTGGAAAGCGGAGGTTTCGGCCCATCGGCTGATGACCGTGACGCTCAGCTTGTCCTCGCCATTGAATTCCTTTCTTTCCACACCATCACCTGCGAGGACCCTGCAACTCCTCGTATCCAGGTCCTGTCTTCCCTCATATCTTCCATGCAACAGTACACGCAGCATTACAAGATTCTCAAAGACTGTTTTGCTGATATGTGCCGTTGCGTTGCACCCAACATGACCCCGGAAGAGATTGCGGTGCTGGCTAAGGGAACTATCGCGCCTCAAATAAGCGTCCGGACTACGGTATTGCAGGCAATTAGTGCAGAAGTCGACATGAGCGATCTTGACTTCTCCGACGAAATCTGGCTAGCATGCCATGATGATGTGGAAGAGAATGTCGAGCTTGGTCGGGAGATCTGGGAGGAAAGCGACTTCAGCCTGTCCCCTGAAGTTCCTGCCAACATGCTACCCTACCTGTACAGCATTGATGGTCAACTGAGGAGGGCAGCTGCTCGCTCACTTGCGGAGGCCTGTAATTCACACAAAGCTACCCTCGAGTCGATCTTGGATGCTCTCAAATCTTCGTATATTGAGCTCGCGAAACCACGAGTCCCCGAGCTGGATGCCTACGGCATGCCCAAGAAGACCAATCTCGCCGACCCCTGGGAATCACGTCACGGTATAGGATCCGCTTTCAAGGAGCTTGCGCCACACATGGACAAACAACAACTGGACCCATACTTCGAATTTCTCATTGAAAGGGGGCCACTGGGCGACCAGAACGCGAACGTCCGTAGTGAGATGCTCGACGCAGCCATCCGCGCCATTGACATTCATGGCAAGGGCATGGTTGAGAAATTGATGAAGGTGTTTGAGCGCACCTTGGAAGGCCCAGATAAGAACACGGAGGCTTCTGACCGTGTCAATGAAGCTGTTATCATCATGTACGGTGCCCTTGCTCGGCATTTGAAACCGGGAGACTCAAAGCTCCCCGTCGTCATCGAACGACTCCTGTCAACCCTCAGCACGCCATCGGAGACCGTTCAATACGCCATTGCGGAATGCTTGCCGCCTCTGGTGCAGGCTTATGGCGACAAATCGTCGAAGTACTTTCAGCAGGTCCTTGAAACGTTGCTGACTTCCAAGAAGTACGCCGAGCAACGCGGCGCAGCATACGGTCTGGCCGGCCTGGTCCAGGGTCGTGGAATTTCATCTCTGAAGGAACAGCGCATAATGATGACGCTGAGAGGAGCCATCGAGAACAAGAAGGAGGCAAATCAAAGAGAAGCTGCCCTCCTCGCGTACGAGCTGCTCTCCACTATTCTCGGTCGCCTTTTCGAGCCCTATGTCATTCAGATCGTACCCCAGCTTCTCACTGGATTTGGCGATGCAAACGCCAACGTTCGCGACTCTTGTCTGGCTGCAGCCAAGGCATGCTTTGGCCAGCTCAGCTCCTATGGTGTGAAGAAGATCCTGCCTACTCTTCTGGATGGCTTAGATGACCAGCAATGGCGTAGTAAGAAGGGTGCCTGCGACCTGCTGGGGGCTATGGCCTACCTTGACCCCCACCAGCTAGCCCAAAGTCTTCCCGATATCATCCCTCCTCTCACAGGAGTTCTCAATGACAGTCATAAGGAAGTCCGTTCCGCAGCCAATAAAAGCTTGAAGAGATTCGGCGAGGTTATCAACAATCCCGAGATCAAGAGCCTCGTCGACATTCTCCTGAAGGCGCTCAGTGACCCGACAAAGTACACTGACGAGGCTCTGGATTCTTTGATTAAGGTCCAGTTTGTTCACTACCTTGACGCCCCTTCTCTTGCCCTGGTTACAAGAATTCTTCAACGCGGCCTTGGCGACCGTTCCAACACCAAACGCAAGGCTGCACAAGTCATTGGCAGTCTTGCCCATCTTACGGAGCGAAAGGATTTGGTCTCTCATTTGCCAGTCCTTGTTGCAGGACTTAAGCTTGCTATCGTCGATCCGGTGCCGACTACCCGTGCTACGGCTTCCCGAGCGCTGGGTTCTCTAGTTGAGAAGCTGGGTGAAGATGCTCTGCCGGATCTTATTCCTGGCCTTATGCAAACCCTCAAGGCAGACAATGGTGCTGGCGATCGTCTCGGCTCTGCCCAGGCTCTCAGCGAGGTTCTCGCCGGCTTGGGTACTACCAGATTGGAAGAGACACTACCTACCATCTTGCAGAACGTCGAGTCATCGAAATCTGCTGTTCGCGAAGGATTCATGTCCCTCTTCATTTTCCTTCCCGTCTGCTTCGGCAACAGTTTTGCAAACTACTTGGGCAAAATTATTCCTCCCATTTTGTCAGGTCTTGCCGATGATGTCGAGTCAATTCGTGAGACCGCTCTTCGGGCCGGCCGTCTGCTCGTCAAGAACTTCGCCGTACGTGCCGTCGACCTACTTCTTCCTGAGCTTGAACGTGGCTTGGCCGACGATAGTTACCGCATTCGTCTCAGCTCCGTCGAGCTCGTTGGTGACCTGCTCTTCAACCTTACAGGCATCAGTGGCAAGACTGAGGATGATGAGGAGGATGAGGAGAGTGCCAAGGAGGCTGGCGCTTCCCTCCGCGAGGCACTCGGAGAGGAGAAGAGAAACAAGATCCTTTCTGCTCTCTACGTGTGCCGATGCGATACGGCTAACGCTGTCCGTTCCGCCGCAATCAGCGTCTGGAAGGCCTTGGTGTCCAGCCCCCGTATCCTCAAGGAACTTGTGCCAACTCTTACCCAGCTCATTATCCGCCGCCTTGGAAGCTCTAACATGGAGCACAAGGTTATTGCTAGTAATGCTCTCGGCGAATTGATTCGCAAGGCGGGCGATGGCGTCCTGTCTACTTTACTGCCAACTCTGGACGAGGGCCTCCAGACATCGACGGACACAGATGCAAAACAAGGTATCTGTCTTGCCCTCAAGGAGCTTATCTCTTCAGCGTCTGAAGAGGCTCTGGAAGATCACGAAAAGACACTTATCTCCGTTGTCAGGACGGCCCTCACCGATTCAGATGGAGATGTCAGAGAAGCCGCCGCAGAGGCCTTCGACTCCCTGCAGCAGATCCTGGGGAAGAAGGCTGTGGATCAAGTTCTTCCCTACCTGCTCAACCTGCTGCGCTCCGAGGAAAACGCCGACAACGCATTGCAGGCGCTGCTTACCCTGCTTACAGAAACCACCCGTTCCAATATCATTCTCCCGAACCTCATCCCTACCCTCATCACTCCTCCCATCTCAGCATTCAACGCCAAGGCTCTTGCTTCTCTGTCTCGGGTCGCTGGTGCTGCCATGAACCGCCGTCTGCCGAACATTATCAACTCTTTGATGGACAACATTATCAACTGCCAAGACGAAGCTTTGAGAGAAGACCTCGAAAACTCTTTTGACACAGTGATCTTGTCCATTGACGAGTACGATGGTTTGAACACTGTAATGAACGTCCTGCTTCAGCTTACCAAGCACGACGATCATCGCAGACGTGCTACTACCACACGTCATTTGGCCAAGTTCTTCGCGTCTGCCGATGTGGACTACTCACGTTACAACCAAGATATTGTACGGTCCCTCCTCATCTCGTTCGATGACAGAGACCAAAATGTGCTCAAGGGAGCTTGGGCCGCGCTCAGCGAGTTCACCAAGAAACTCAGGAAAGAAGAAATGGAGAGTCTCGTCACCTCAACCCGACAGGCTCTTCAACAGGTTGGCGTTGCTGGCGCCAACTTGCCAGGCTTTGAGCTTCCAAAGGGCATCAACGCCATCCTACCGATATTCTTGCAGGGTCTCATGAACGGCACCCCAGAGCAAAGGACACAGGCAGCTCTGGCCATTTCTGACATTGTGGACCGGACCAGCGAAGCTTCCCTGAAGCCGTTTGTCACGCAGATCACGGGCCCCCTGATTCGTGTCGTATCTGAGAGATCTACAGATGTCAAATCTGCGATTCTGTTGACCCTAAATAACCTTTTGGAGAAGATGCCTACAGCGCTGAAGCCATTCTTGCCCCAGCTACAACGTACATTTGCCAAGTCGCTCGCAGACACTTCCAGCGAGGTTCTCCGAGCTCGCGCAGCCAAGGCTCTGGGTACGCTCATCAAATACACGCCACGAATCGATCCACTCATTGCCGAACTGGTGACTGGATCCAAGACTGCGGACCCCGGCGTCAGAACCGCCATGCTCAGCGCGCTCTACGAAGTCATCAGCAAGGCCGGTGCCAATATGGGCGAGACCTCGCGCGCTGCTGTCCTGGGTCTCATTGATATGGATACTGATGAGAGAGATGATGCGATGACAATCACCAATGCCAAGCTGCTCGGAGCACTCATTAAGAACGTGCCCGAGGAGGCTGCCAACGGGCTGCTGAAGAACCGGGTGGTTACCAGTCACTGGAGTCACTCTTCGGCTCTCGCCCTCAACGCGGTGTTGGTTGAATCACCGCAGAGCCTCCTGGAAAGCCCCTTGGCGGACGAATTGCCCGATCTTCTTTGCCAGGGCATGTCGAGCAAACACGTAAGTAAATGGTGCTTGCAGTACGGTCACAAAATACTAACGCAAGCTATGCAGGCGTACATCGCGGACAACGTCATCCTGGCCACTGGTAAATACCTATTGTCAGACTCGGTCAAGACTTTTGATTCGAACAAGAAGATCTTTGAGGCCCTGGCAAACATCATCCAGCCAGGTGGTTCCGTGGACTCTCGGCGGTTGGCATTGGTTATCGTTCGGACAATGAGCCGTACCAACATGGACATGGTTCGCCCGCACGTGGGGTTGCTTGCTGGCCCTGTGTTTGCCAGCGTTAGAGACCCGGTCATTCCCGTCAAGCTGGCCGCGGAAGCCGCTTTCGTTGCTCTCTTCAACGTTGCGGACGACGAAAACAAGGTCTTTGACAAGTTTGTGGATGGTGCAAACCTGCCACCCAACACCAAGAGGAGCATGCAGGACTACTTCAAACGTGTCACCCTGAGGCTCGGAGCGCAAGTACGGGAAAGGAGGGAAGCAGAGGGAGGCCAGGGAGGCCTAGGTCTGTCCAATGACGAGGTTGAAGATGAAAAGGAGATATGGAGTGTGGGCAAGGTTGACGTTGGCGAGGATGTGTTTGGCAAATAGGCAGGTTGAGCATACAGGATGGATGTTAAATGTGGAAAAGTCACAATTCACTTATGCCAAGACAGCTACTTGCAATTCTGTGAGTGAAAGGTGTGCGCAAAGCGCGGTGCGAAGATGAGGTATGGAAGAATTGTGCAGGATTCCTGAGTTGGCCCAAGTAAGGTATCAGTACCTTGAAGAAGAGAACATCGATCCTCCACGCCCTATTATCTGAGATAAGGGTACCTATGTGGGTAGATAAGGCTGTTGTTGGCACTACAAAAAGATGTCGCCGTCCACCCCAGCCAAGCACAGTCTCCAGTGTTGCGAGGTGAGAGCGGTTATAGCACAGTGCGGTACGTACCTGCATTTTGGTGTGTTGACGCATCACGTGATGGCATGATTCATTCAGAGCCCTCGCTTAATCCTGAGTAGCTGGCTCAGTGGCCCCACTCGAATCCGCACCGCTTTCTGACTTTCCTCCAGAGAAATATTCGAGTGTCAACCCCTCTCAATTTTCCAACACCTCGACTCCCCCGGTAGGTACGACCATCGACTAGGACAACATTCAAGATGTAAGTTATCACGACCGCACCCAGCAACGCCCTGCAACACCGATTCCAATGAGATTCCCGTCGTCCTGTGTCCTGGCAACGCCAATCTCCGGCCGTTGTGGCTTCGGGGATTGGCGGAGTCGAAACGAACCGAACACACGACGACCGGCACTTGGATGGAATTGAAGGAGGATGAACACCTTTTCCTCCCACAATGTCATGATGTATCGGGGACAAGGGCTGATTGCGACTGCTTCTCTCCAGGGTCAACTTGCGAACTCAGAAGCGCCTCGCCGCGTCGGTCATCGGCTGCGGTGAGCGCAAGATCTGGCTCGACCCCAACGAGGTCAGCGAGATCTCCAACGCCAACTCCCGCCAGACCGTCCGCAAGCTCATCGCCGATGGCCTCATCATCCGCAAGCCTGTCACCATGCACTCGAGATCCCGTGCTCGTGAGCTGAACCTTGCCCGCCGCATCGGTCGCCACCGTGGCTTCGGTAAGCGCAAGGGTACCGCCGAGGCCCGTATGCCCAGGTTCGTCGACACCAATGCTCCCGGCAAGCGATCTGTGGGATAGCCTGTAGTGAAGAAGTTTCTCGCCACACGATGTTTGTCCTGGCGAGGAGACTCTCGTCTCAGCTACACCACGGCTGCATGCCCTTACGTGGAGATTCTGTGCTGACTCTCGATGAAGCCAAGTCCTCTGGATGCGCCGCCTCCGTGTTCTCCGCCGTCTCCTCGTCAAGTACCGTGCCTCCGGCAAGATCGACAAGCACCTCTACCACGAGCTCTACCACGCCAGCAAGGGTAACACCTTCAAGCACAAGCGTGCTCTCGTGGAGCACGTAAGTTACAACACCCGGACCCTTCAGAAACGGGAACAGAGTTTTGTGTGGACGGAAGTGATGTATGCTAATATCTTTGTTTGCAATAGATTCACCGTGCCAAGGCCGAGAAGGCCCGCGAGAAGGCTCTCAAGGACGAGATGGATGCCAAGCGTGCGAAGACCAAGGCCGCCCGCGAGCGCAAGCAGGAGAGAGCGGCGGCGAAGAGGAACGCTCTGATGGGTGAGGAGGAGGAGACCAAGTAGACGACTACATCTCGATCTCGGTCCTTAGGCGGCTGCATTCGGAGTCATCGGGTTGGGTCTTCTTTTTTTACGTCCTACTGGTCCTAATGTCGCAGCAGGGCTTTGGCATGTAGCATTGAAAAATGGAAATCGATGACATGGCAAAAAATCGGGCATGAAAAATGAGCAGCAGCAATCTTTACACGGTTATAAACTTTCAACTTCTTTTGTGATTCCCACATGGTTGTGCGTATTTGGTGAATGTTGAGGTTCCCTGATGGGCCAATCTCTACGCATAAAGCGAAATCTCGATATTCTTGTGTTCGGCGGATCGGGTTCAGTCGAGGGTCCGAATGATACGATCCGTCATACGGCGTTGGCCCATCTCTACCTTAGGTACCTATACGGCAGCGGTATATGGGGCAATCTTGCGTAGGCAGCTCTGGGCAGTATGCCGAACCAGCATCAAGGTTATCCACGGACGCGAGGCACAAAATCAGCCGTTGGGAACGTTGATGGAAAATTCCACATCGTATTCAGCTTTGATCAGCAAGCAATAGGAATAGCCACAATGCAGCAGTACGTTGTCGAAAACATGGTTTCCCTGTGGACAATCTACTCAATGCACTTGGACTACCTGACAGCTTACAACACATACGCAGCATGTTTGAATTTAAAGCCCTGAGCACACTTGTGCGTCGGGGAGAGGATGGCCGACCGGCGCAATGAAAAGACTATGAAGAAAGAAGCACAACCACGGATTGGATCAGATTATTTCAAATTGTCCCTGAAAAGGTGGTGATGGTGCCAGGACATTTCATCATGCACCCGCCGAAGCGGAAGAGCTGATGTGTGAAGAAAGCGTGCTCGTCATCTCCAATTTAGTTGTGTAAAGAAGAGAAGAAGGAAAAGATTAAAATTTTCGGCCGCGATGCCGCGTAAAAAGGGCAGGTCGGGACAGGGTCCACTGTGAGGCGGGACCTTGCCGAGGGCCCGTGCACTGCTTACTGTTCCAATTGTTCCAACTTCCAGCGCGGACCTGCTCTCGACTCTCGAGCGGTGCCTGTAGCGACATGACGGGGCAGAATGGTGTTGCTGGAGTCTGGAGCGCGGTCCGCCTTACACGGTATCCGCACACTATCTTCGGCACGAAGTACCTAAGCATCAGCGAACCACCATGCAGGCCGATAAAGATGATAAGGTCGGTCATAGTGGGTAGCGCGGAGCCGAAGCCGGCGCCAACCGCTGAGCAGCTCGGTCGAGTTACCGCTGGACGACGGATGAGATACCGAGCAGTGGTTCAGCGTATCCGCCAGCTTGGCTGGTGCCATATGTACCGGCTCCCCCACCGACTGCGCATCGCTACATCATCTCCTCGTGGTTTGTAGCTGGGGTACTAGCATCGGTAACTCGATCTCTCAGGTACTTACTTGCCTGGCTGTTGTAGCTGTCCTTGCCTTACCTTACATCAAACCTCATCCTCCACTCCCTCTTCACCTTTCCCCTCGTTTCTTTCCCTCCAATTCTCTTCGTTTGACACTGCTTCCACGACAGCCAGTCGTCATTGCTGTCAACATGTCTTTTTCCGTCTTCCGAGGTACCTTTCGTGCCCTGCGCTGCTTGCCGAGAGGGGCTGTCCCGGCGGCTCGTCCGCGCATGAGTGGCGTGAGATGCATCTCGACGTCCAATTCTGAGGGTCAACAACAGGTGCGCCGTTTGGCTTTCCGACCTTTTCTTGACTTCCAAATTCCGTTGCTGACTTGGCTTGCCCTATAGCTGCTGTCTGCTCACCTCCAGCAAGCCGATCCCGCTGTCTTCGACATCATTGAGAAGGTACGACTTCATAGGACGACATCTAATGTTGACACCGACATTTGCGACAACCTCCTTTCCCCGTCAACACAACGAGCACTGCTGCGATAACACATGGTTTTGGCGAAGGGAACCAGCCGCTGACTCGGGTATACTTGCAGGAGAAAAACAGACAGAAGCACTTTATCAACCTCATCCCCTCAGAGAACTTCACCTCCCAAGCTGTTCTCGATGCCTTGGGCAGTGTGATGCAGAGTATGAGCAGCTTGTCCCCAGTGCTGATTTTATACTCACCAACTGGTTAGACAAGTACTCCGAGGGTTATCCGGGCGCGAGATACTACGGCGGAAACGAGTTCATCGACCAAGCGGAACGTCTCTGCCAGCAGCGAGCTCTCGAGGCTTTTGGCCTCGATGCCACGCAATGGGGTGTCAACGTGCAGGGTGCGTATTGATTTCTTCGCCTTCTCGACAATCCAGCCAGCCACTAACTCATCGTGTAGCTCTGTCCGGTGCCCCCGCCAACTTGTATGTCTATTCTGCTTTAATGGACACCCACGATCGCCTTATGGGACTGGATCTGCCTCACGGCGGTCACCTTTCCCACGGCTACCAGACGCCGACCAAGAAGATTTCCGCCATCTCCAAGTACTTCGAAACTGTCCCCTACCGGCTCGACGAGACAACCGGCCAGATCGACTATAACAAGTTGGAGGAATTGGCCATGTTGTACCGCCCCAAGGTCATTGTTGCCGGTGCCAGTGCCTATAGCAGGTTGATCGACTACAAACGCATGCGCGAGATCGCCGACAAGGCCAATGCCTATTTGCTCGCTGACATGGCCCACATCTCTGGTCTGGTCGCGGCCAAGGTGATGCCCGGCCCCTTCGCCTACGCCGATATTGTTACCACCACTAGCCACAAGAGCTTGCGTGGACCACGCGGTGCCATGATCTTCTTCCGCAAAGGTGTGCGCCGGCAGAACGCGAAGAAAGAGGATGAGATGTACAACCTCGAAGGCCCCATCAACAACTCCGTCTTCCCTGGTCACCAAGGAGGCCCCCATAACCATACAATCACCGCCCTGGCCGTTGCCTTGAAGCAGGCACAGGCTCCTGAGTTCCGCGCATACCAGACGCAGGTTCTAGCAAACGCAAAGGCGTTTGCACACAGACTGGGCGCTCCTAAGGAGAAAGGAGGTTTGGGTTACAAGCTAGTGTCAGGCGGCACCGATAACCATCTCGTGCTTGCAGACCTCAAGCCGCAGGGTATTGACGGTGGTCGTGTTGAGCGTATTTTGGAGCTTGTTGGTGTCGCGGCGAACAAGAACACCGTTCCCGGTGACAGGTCAGCATTGGTGCCTGGTGGTTTGCGTATGGGCACACCGGCCATGACAACAAGGGGATTTAGCGAGGAAGACTTTAGCCGTGTCGCTGATGTCGTTGACCGGGCCGTCACCATTGCCGTCCGTATAGACAAGAGCGCAAAAAAGACTGCCGAGGAGAAGGGAGAAAAGAAGCCTGGTCTGCTAAGACACTTCATGCAGCATCTTGGCGACGGGGAAACGGATCCAGAGATTGTGCAGCTGAGATCTGAAGTGGCTGACTGGGTCGGCACATACCCGTTGCCGTGGGACGTCCGCTCTTGAGCAATTGGGGCCGCATTTCATGAAGGGATGGGTCAGCACTTGGACTCGGGACATGAGGGGTGCTGATCCATTTCGGCGTTTTACTGGGGTCCTTGGTTGCTTTCAGGCTGTGCGAGAGCGGTCGCGCCCCCCCACGTTTATCGTTTATGTGTTATTTTGATATCGAGGGCTTTCCACCAGTCCTACCAGCATATTGCGTTGACATGTTGCATGGAGCATGCATCTCCATTACACAAAGTTCATCATCCTCAACGAGATACGGAAATAAAATAAATATTGATATGTAAACATTTTCAAGATAGAGCCAAGCTTCGATGACTGTGACGTTGGCCTGCTTCACCTGCAAACTTCACAGCGCGCCCCTTTTCTGGTTTGCTTCTGTCATTCGAGGCATTTTCTTTCTTACAAAAAGATACCAAGCAAACAACACACTCCGAGGCTTTCCCGCGCTTCATGGATCTCTTCCTCAGACACCAAGGAGCTGTAAGATGAATTCGTGCCTGGGTATCTTCACTCACCAACGTGAAGTGAAGTAAGGATAACTTCAAGGCGTGCTCGCGCCCTCCGGCCGGTCTGTTCCCAGCACTTTGGTAGTCGAGTCTCTGTTCTTGAACCTCTCGTAATACTCCTTCAGCTCCCCAGTCGCGACGAGTGCCTCAGTACCAGAATCCTCCACGATGGTGTGAAGCACTGGCCAAACGGCGAAGTCGGCCAAAGAAATTCTCTCTCCCGCAATAAACTCCGACTCTCCGGAGTAGCCTCCCCAGATAGCGAGCTCTTTGTTTAGGGGTTTCAGGTCACGCTTCCCTTCGTCGTCTCGCCCGAGTTGGCGCCATTTTTCGAGCAATGCGAGTCCTTGCTGGAAACGGGTCAGGATCCTCGCCAGGTCTGAGTGCGACTTGTCGGCGGCGTCTGCTCTTGCTGAGCCATAGACGCCGTCAAGGTAAATCATGATTGCCAGCTCGCCCTGTACCGTGGACTTGACGGCGTCGTTGTCGATGAATCTGATCGGCGGGCTTTCAGGGATCGTAGAGGTGTTGTTTACACCTTCGCCGTCTTTCCAGTTGAAGGACAAAGACACGCTGCCCTTTGCGTAAGAAATTCCATACTCGGCTAACATCAGGGCGATGCGTGTATTGACGACGGGATCAGCCGAGACGCAGAGTCGAGGTGAGTGGTTCATGTGAAGAACGTCGAATCCCTTACCGTAGTGCCGGTCCCAATCGAACGTGGTAGAATGGTTCTCCGTGCCAAAAGCGTGCAGCATTCCCACCGCCTCGGGGCTTTGCCCATTGATAACGGGCTTGGCTTCATCTCGGGCCTTGCATGTCGCTCCTTGGCCCCAGATCACTGTACTATCGCGATCCAAAAAGGTACCAATCTGTCGGAAGGTGAGGGAGATCCGGCCGCCCGAGAAGGCCAGTTCAGCAGGAGTCTTATCGCGCTCCATCCTCTTGTCCTGCCTGATGGCGTGCAGCCAGCGCATGTTGGTCTCCAGGCCCATGCGGCACAGAGAGTTGTGTGGCAGCTTTGCGCGGGCGATTTGGCGCTTCTTTGAGTCT